AGGATTTCCGAGAAATCATCTCCAATAGGCCAATCCCAAGTTTCTTCCACTGGGGAAGAAAGGAGAATTTCCGGGAAATCATCTCCAAGAGGGCAAACCCAAGATTCCCCCAATGGGGAAGAAAGGAGGATTTCCGAGAAATCATCTCCAAGAGGCCAATCACAAGCTTCTTTCACTGGGGAAGAAAAGAGGATTTCCGAGAAATCATCTCCAATAGGCGAATGCCAAGTTTCTTCCACTGGGGAAGAAAAGAGGATTTCTGAAAAATCATCTCCAAGAGGACAATCCCAAGATTCTACCAGTCGGGAAGAAAGAAGGAATTCAGAGAAATCATCTCCAAAGCGTCAGTCCCAAGTATCTGCCAGTGGGGAGGAAAGACGGATGTCAGAGAACTCATCTGCAAGGTATCAATCCCAAGTTTCTGACAAGTATGAAGGAACAAGTAATGAAGCAAAGAGGGCTTCAACAAAATCTTCAAAAGATCCATCTAATAGTAATTTCAATGAAGAGCCCAAGACCGATGAGGAAAAGGCTGCGTCTCCAAGACATCAATCAGATTTTCGTTTTAATGATATCGCAGTTGAACAGAAAGCTTTGCTGCATCAGGATGTCAACAACGCAGGATTACAAGAATTTGGTCTAAATCAAAATAATGAAGATTCAGGGAACAATTCAGGGCAAGCAAAGATCAAAACTCGCGTTTATAAATCAACCGAGGAAGAGAAAGTCGATGCAGATGGAACTCGAGCTAACTCCCTATATGTTGACTCCTTATCTGAAATGGAATTGGCGGACAATAACAATGCTGAGCTCCAGACAGAAGAGAGCGAAGAAGCTGAAGATGTCGCCCAGCTTAACAACTGCTTCAGGGGACCGCAGTGGACGAATGCCTGCGGCTATTGTTGTTCCGGCTATTGGCGAATGTGCAATATGCGGGGCTACAATAACCGCATGAATTTTCCAGGGGTATCCAACTGCAATGGACAGTGTTGTTCGTACAACTGCTGTCGTCCCCGACAGCGTTAAAGACTCTCCTGCAGCTTGGCAGTGCCAGCAGGAGTTGGCATTTAAATAGCCTCGGCACACAGCAAAACAATAAATATTTGCCTAGCAACATTTACATATTGTCTTGCTGAGAGCTTTATCCTCGCTACGGCTTACTTGACACAATTCTCGCAATTCCTAATAATTTGCGGTTGACCAGATTGTTAATATAACTGGCGATTAGCAGAGCCATAAACCTCTGTGCACTTTCCGAATTAAATGCATTTCAACAGCAAAGCCCCAAGTTTATTCAGTTGCATAAATAGCTCTCGGTTGGCAGCAAATCCAACTGCTTTGCTTCCTTGTTGGCCAACAGCTCTTGACCTGCAAATAAAGATTACATGGATTTCAAGGCAGTTGTGCTAGCCATGGCTAAGTAAACTTTGCCTTGGGCTTACGCAGCGATTTCATTTTGTATAAAAAATAAATGCTCTGGGGAGCAGTCCAGGTAGCATACATAATTAACTTAGCTTTGGCATTTTGATATGCCCAGTTTTAGTTTCTTAAAAACCGTCACAGCATAAACATTTAAGAGTGCTCTAGTGGGGACTACTGGATTAGGCGATACCTTGAACCCTTAAAGAACTGAAATTGTACTCATTATACGTTTACTATATATGTACATACATCGTACATATGTGCATATATACATACATATATTCATTTATATGTACTTATATACATACACATAGATACGTTTACATACATTTTGCTGGAGTTTTAGGCGCATGGTATCGTATTTTTCAAAATCTATCAAAGTGAACATACGAAGTAAAAGCAATTGAATAAGTTTCATAATCATATAAAGATATTATATTTACAATTTCAAGTTGCCATCATTTATGGGCTACGAGATCCCTGCGCTCATATGAACTGACAGACAAACGGACGGTAGAGTGGATTGACAGACCATATTGAATGGACAATACCAATACAATACAATACACCTCAGTTTCTCATTTTCAATGGGTTTGCAGTATTAAAATGCCTGGATGAGCTGAAAAATTACACTATTAACTCTAGCATATTATTTCTCTTTTTTCTTGTTATTTGCCATGACATCTCTGTTCTCTAATATTATTTCTGTTCTTCTAATATTTGCCCTAAAATTGCCTTTCATAATATTCAGAGTAAACGACATCACAAAGAATTTGTCGAGTGCACAGGTAACTGGGCCAGCACCTGGGCAAGAGGCTGAGTGAGTTGTCATTAAATGGGAACTGTATCTGGCTCTCGTATCTTGTGGCTGGGCCAGGCTCGCCTGTTGTCTCTTGCCTATTTCCTAGTTTTGTCATAGGGAAATTGAGTATCTTCATTTACGGATATTAAATGCCTTGCCCACTTGCCAGCTGTCAGGGCGGCAGCAAACCGAAAAAAACCAAAAGTCGAATTGATAGCAACTATGCAGACGAGATATGTTTTGCAATTTAATTTGTTGTTCAGTACGATTCGAACGTTAGGATTTATTTTAGTCAATGCCAGACTTATTGAGCGAACGGCAAGTCAAACGGAAGTTCAGTTTTGGCCACTGAATATGGTTTTCGCCGCTTGCCACAACTCCAGCTACTCGTCTACTTAGCAAGGCCACCAGCCTGGCAGCCTGGCAGCCTGGGCAGTCCGGCATCTGGCAGCTGGCAGCTGGCAACTGGCATTCACTGTTGTTGCCTTTTGATTTTATTTCGTTTCATGTTTTATTCACCACTTCCGCCGGAAATAGACATATGAGCGTGTGCGCTCGCTGAGCGTATTAGGTGGCAATATGCCTTTAGTTTTTGGCAGCTCGATGGGCCCGGCTGGTAAACATTTGTTTTGCCCAACAAAGTAGAAACTGTTTTCGCAAACAAATCCCACATAAATGCTCAATTTATAACAAACCGGAAGTTAAACTTAATCAAGCGTACTTTTTGGCTTATTGTTTAGTCTGTGTGTGTATCTCTCTCTCTCTCTTTCTCTCTCTATCTCTTTATCTCTCTCTGTCTGTCTGCCTGTCTCTCTTTGGCTCGTTGTCCCATCTGCTTTTCCGTATTTACTTAACATATTTTATTGCGATACTTTAGCTGCTCTATGATGGCTGTTTCGCTCTAGGGGGAGATTATATGGGGATTTGTATGGCACTGTGATTTCAGCAAAATATTTTCATTTTTCTGGCATGAGAGCTGCCTGCATTGTGAATCCTCCTTTCGGTTTATGCATTTATGTATGGCTACGCCTGCTCCACAAATATATTTTGGGCATAGTTTTACTGTTTGCAGTTTATGTGATAAATTGTATTAGACTCAAACATGACAGTAAACATTTATGGCCAGACAATGTTATTATTGTGCTTTTTTTTTCTCCTCAGTTGCTCTGGTATAAAGAGCAGTTTATTGAAAATTTAACTAAAACCGAAGGCCAGACCTGAGCATGCGCTGCGCACGTATGGAGGAATGTTTTATGCTTTCCCAAAGCAATTTGACTCCTATTGTCTGTCCATTGTTCCGCTTTATTAACTTAGCTGAAAACGACATCAGCCAACATGCATCCCTGCATTCCGGCAGCCTTGTGCATAGATAATGGCATATCTTCTTAGCATATTCCATTCAAAGTTGTGCAATAATTGAAATCGACATTAGACTGCATTACTTAGGTTGTATGCAAATTTGAGGGCAATTGCGAAGCAATTAACCCAAATGAAATAAGTTTGTAAACATGTCTTCGGGCGGTGGCAAAGTGGGCGTGTCTGTCTGCTTCTCGTTTGCCATTGTTTGCATTCAGTTAGTTAGAGCTCAAGTGAGCACACGCACACACACACATACACACACACACACACACACACACCCACGCAGAAGCAAATAGAATTATACGGCGGAGAATGCAACTATGAATATGTGTGCGCATCTTGAAAGGAGGAGGGTGTGTGCCAGGGGGCGTTACAAATGTTTTCCATTTGCTAATACGTTCGATAATTGCAGATTGCCATTGCTGCATACGAATCATACGAGTGCTCGCTCACAAAGGTCCTTAGAGACTCCAGCAGCCAGCATCAATCAGAGCGGGGCCCGAGCTGAGCAGGTGAGTCGATTATCTACACGCTGCCACAATTAGAGCTCATTGTTGTTAAATCGCATGGATGTGCATGGCTGCATCGCCTAACAAAGGCCAATTCAAGACGGCAGACGATTCGTTAACCTGATTATGCCATTTCGGTGACGGGCTTTGCATAAGAGTCTCGAGAGCTCTGCTGGCAGACGTCAGTGATTTTTCAGTCACAGCAAACAAAAATTAAATATTTTTTTTGTATTTAGGACAAACGAGTCACCAAAATTTCGAAATTAACGAATCCTTAAAAGTTATGGGAATATGTCGGTCAGGCCGCCAATGAAATTTGGATTCGCCCGATTAACTCATGCCCATGGAATCCTTCAGCGGCACAGACTACATCCAGCGACAACCCATGTACTATTTCGACCGGTTTTCAGTGGCCACAGAGTGCGTAAGACTTCGGGCAACTCTGGCATCACATCGGGAAGCAAAGGCAAGTGGTCGCTACATCTCAATCTGGAGCGCGCCCAGGACCGAGATCGACCGATTTCGTTGCCTTTGATGGTTTATTTATACAGTCCTTGGATGATGTTTAGTACTAAATTAAACTTATGGATACTGAAATTACTCTGGGATTGGCGCTTTGCCGAACTGCAATTTGTGGACAATGCGAAGCAGGCGCTGGTGCTGATCACCAAGTTTATTGTGGAGCAACACGAGGGCTACATCAAGCGCTGCACGACCCCGATGGGATACAAGCAGATCAGGCACGATCTGATCGGGTCCAATGCCAGCCCCGCCAAGCTGATGGTCTTTGACAAGCGCCACATTCGCCGGGCCATTCCCCTGAAGATTCAGCGCCTGCAGCACTACGATCACAAGTTCGCCTTCATCGATATGATCTTCTTGGCGTGCCGGCGTACCAACGATTTTGTATCGAAACAAGAGATGCAACGGATGCAGAATCTTGTGGCTCAGTGTGCGGACACCAGCCACATATTCGTCCCCAATCCCATTATCTGTGCGGAATTTTTCGTGCGCTTCAGGCGAGATTACTCCCTGCCGTGCACAGTGCGTGCCGGCCATTGGCTGATATCCACGTACAAAATACTACGCTTGGATGTGCTCAACACGCATCCCGAGTTCCATGTTGGCAGTGGTGTCTACGACATCGTCGATGGCGTCCAACCACTACATCAGAAAGCGACTCACGCCTAATTTCAATATGAGGTGTATAAAAAATATATGCGAATAAATTTTGTTGTTGAAATTGAATTGTTTCAGCGGAGATGATGGCAGCTCTTGGAATTTGAGGCGCTCATAATCCGCACGATAATGAGCCCAGTGCCAGATGGCGCCCGCCTGCTCCACTCAACAGCAAACTTGTGTTAGTGAGAGGAGCAAGCAAAAAAACGAAAAGATAATGGGAAAAATGGGAAAAACAAGAAACTGCAAAGTGCAAGATGTGTTGCTGCACTCAGCCCCGGGGCTGCCCCTCGAGCTAACTTTGTTTTGCTGTTGATAAGCCGGCGACGCTGCTCATGAATTCCTAAAGCTAAATGCAGCGAGGGGGGAAGCACAGCTGAGAAGCAGGCCAGGCAGGTGCCTGCCCGATGGACATGATAGCTCAATCAGCTAGCTGAGAGCTGCCCACAAGTGGACAGCTCCAAGTGGGCTGCAATCGCAGCCATATACCTATTGAGTTGGATATACTCGCATAGGGTGAGCTGGTTTACTCTGAGCATCTAAGATATTATTGAGTTTTTTACCTTAACTGCTTCAGTTAAGAAACAGATATAGAACGATTTGTTTAAAATTTACGTGTGGGAATATATATATTCATAGGAACTAAATGACGGGTGCTTAGGTATAGAGTTTAAATATTCTTTAATTATTGAATATAAGGATACATATATATAAACCTAGTAAAAGAAATTTTATGAGGGCCACATTTAGAATCTTTATATTTATTGTAAAAAATTCAATTAATTGCCAATTAATGATTCTCTTTTATATATTGCATATTTCTGATGCATTCCGAAAGTAAAGTACTCAAGATTAACGTAATCCTACCTAGCCCCAACTATCTCACCACAACAAATATTAGCATCAACCACATCCTCGGCAACTGCTCCGCAATTTTCTACCCTCACACTCAAATCCTCACAAACACCTGTCTTCCGTGACACCTCCCTATATGGACGTAATCTATTCAGGCACCATAAATGATAAATATCCTAAATTAAAGTTAATCATATTATTTGTTTGTAAATAAATTTTAATCGAGTATAAAAGAATAAATAAGTCGTAGTTACATTAAACAAAAAACGAAAAATTAACATATTATATATTTTGATCATTATTGTAATATTGCTCATACAAAAGTTTACAACTCGAGCTTTTCGGGCTTTTCGCCCATAGTACATCACTACATAGCAATTGTCATTTAAAGGCTACATAAATACTAGACTAAAATATAATTTAGCTGGCATTAAGAGTCTTTGACTAGAGTCCAGGTTCTGGCTTTCTCCCGCAGCTATCACAGTAATGAGTCATAAATTTATGACAATGATATAAATAGCTAGACGATTGGGCTGCATAAGCGCATTTATGCTGGCGAGCAATTTGCTTCCAAGTCAAGTCGAGTCAAGTCAATATATCTCGGCGTATCTTACATATCAGCTGGCGCGCAAGTTATTTCCTCAGGTGAAGGAGAAAAATGGTGAGGAGCACACGAAGTCAGCTGGCTGGCTGGCAAGTCGTGTCGCTTATCGGAACACGTTTCACTGCCGGCCCGTCGATAAGTTGAATTTAGTATGCGTTAGCTAAGGCTATGGGCTGCCAAGGAGGAGGATGCAGACTGCGCCAGCTTGCTCGACCACATCTCCAGATCCCCCACTAGCCGCTGCTTTGTTTGAACTTTGTGCGATATGCTTTCTTTCGACACTTTGTGGCTGCGGTTGCTGCTGCTGCTACTGCTGCTCCGCTGCATTTGAATTTAAAGCATGCAATTTTATGCTTTTAATTTTACGCTTAATAAATTTTGTGGCTTTGCACAGAGCAATTTAGCCAAGGCAGCAGCTGCAAAGCAGACGAGTTTACTTTACCCACCCACACACACACACACAACCAAGTAATAATGAATTTAAGCAGCGTAACAACTTTAATGAGCACTGCGAAAACATTCAAAGGGCATAAACTCGGTGTCTGCGATAAACATCTGCATTATCTTCAGGGCGAATGAAAGCCCAGCAAGACTAAACTTTAAATTCTATTGTGCGTAGTTCGTAATTGTATATTGAAAGTATATGTGGTTTCTGTGGCTGCCACACACACTCACACACACACACACAGCAAGGATAAGGGAAACTCTGGCAAGACAGCTAAGCTGCAATCCACACGCTCCCATATCATACATCATTTGCTGTCAAGTTTTTAAACTGAAAGCACTTGGACAAACAAAAAGTTTAAAAAAATACAAAAAGAGAGTAGAGAAAAGAAGGACGCGACGGCGACAACAAGTTGGGCGTGTCGAAAAACTTGAAATTGTTTTCAAAATTGCAATGTCACGCCACTAGCCCCCTCCACCCGCCACGCCCACACAACAGAATAGAGCCACAAAGAAGGAAAGTTTTGGGTGGGCAAGAACCCACAAACTTGGCATAACTCTGTGTATATACTTATATCTATCTAGCGCTCTGACGAACTTTCCCATATCCTATGACAAGTTTGAGTGGAGCTAAAGCGATTTCAAGACATTCCAAATCTATAGGGGAAAATAACAAGGAACTTCGATTGTTGTCCAAGTCTGATTCGCTGGTAGAGGCTTACGTGGCGTATACTCTACTCTCGATACCCCGTTCGATATGCGGACTGCTGCAGTTGCAGGCAACATTTGCTCATTTGCAGCAATGACATTTTCGTTTCAGACTCCGACTCCGACTCCGACTCCTTCTCCGACTTGGACGCGCAGCTGACCGCTTTAATGGGAAGCCAAACAAACGACGGCATCGACAGGACTGGACTTGCAACGCGAACTTGGCAGCCTGCGCCTGTTGATGACAATGACTTTTTAAATTGTTTCACAAAAGTGTCAGAGTGGGCCAAAGAGAGAGCCAGAGAGTAAGAGAGAGAGGGAAAGCGAGAGCTGTGGTCAGCAAGTCAGCAGCTGCTGGAAAATAAATGAGCTCAGTATGTTGGCCAAAAATGTATGCGACCTGCTGTCCACTAGTTAGCAAAATGATGCTCATCATCATCATCATCATCATCATCATCATCAGCATCATCAGCATCGGCGTTATCACCAGCCTTCGTGCAGCATGAGCGAGCGGAATCCGACTTTATGACTTCATTTTGCCAACTGCTCGCCCGCCCGCACTCGTTGCGGTCTTCACGCAGCTCAATTTGCAGGTGTGGTCGCCCCACCGCAGACAGCGTTGTCACCGCTCTGCGACTGCAGTGCTTAAGCTGGTCTGGTCTGGGCTGGGCCAGTCTGCATTTGATGCTGTCGCATCGACAATGCACAGACACTATTAAAGAGACATTCGTTGCCTTTCATTGCTGCGTGTCCAGGCTGCCTCACACAGGTGTGTCTGGAGCTGGGGCTGGGGCTGGGGCCACTCATAATCAAAGTGCGTTGAACGAGAGGCTTTCTGACACCTCAAATTGAGTACAGCTCGAGCTCAGCTCGGCGATTAAAGGCTCATTCAGCGCCTTTGATATGTGCAATTAATTGCAATTCTCTTGCGCGTTTCATACAACTAAATTAATCCCTTCATAATGCAAAAGAAAGCAGCAGCTCCTTAGCTGAAAAACATACAAAGAGCACAGCTAAATCCCAAGAGGTGTTTGGAATTCACAATAGACAGACACAATTTGATAAAAGGGAAGCTAATTTACCTTTGCTAAAAATAATTATATTTACAATTTCTTTTAATTATTTATTACTTACAATTTCTATTTGAGTTCTAGTGAATATGTATTACATATTGATTATTTAATTTGTTGCAAACGAGGCTGAGCAAATGCAAAACCACTGAGCAGCTGGAAAGGAATCTCAGTGTGGCAGGCGTAAAGCAGCTGCTACTCAAGACAACAATTGAGGGGAGTCCAGATAAAGGACAGGGAGCCATACTGAACCAGTGCTTCGGTGGCTTCAAATACCGAATACAGCAGCGCTGACTCCTGCAGTGGAAATGCGGCCAAGGAAGGCTAGCAGTCAGAAACGATTTGGTTATCCATGTCCATGCCCATTCCATAGTATGTAGCTCTGCGCGTGGATGTCTGCTTGCTTGTGTTCTCCTGCAATTGTCAGTGAACTAGCCTCTAGTTAGGACGATTCCAGTTGGAAGCTGCTGACACCTATTATAATATATTTATCCACTCTACTGTCTGTCTATCTATTAGAAAGGTCCAGGACGTAAGCTCTTTTTGGACGTCTTTGATTATTCTTATTATTATGAAGCCTATTGACACATATATTTCTAAATATCTTGACTTAACCTCGTCTTGGATACGAGGGACTTTGGGGTGGATATCTCAATTAGTCATTAATGATCAGCTGTTATTGTTCATAGCGTCTTTATGAATTCTTAGCTGCTTATGTTCGTATTGGGTCTCTCACGGACAGTACTTCATTTGCAAATATAAAATATAGAACACTTAAAGAACAAGTAAGGAACAAACATTCATAATTACAAATTGACCTACTTTCCATTTGACAGTGGACGACTCTATACGCTTTTATTTTAATCATTTACCAATTGACGACAAAAATCAATAGTGGCCCATAAAAATACTCAAATGGGCACAAGAATATCGAGGACCATAATTCAAAGTCTAAAAGCAAAGTTGCAACAATCAAACTTTATAATTACTTGCCCCATTGATGTGTGAGTTTAAGAGTGTGTATATGTATGTGTGTGTGTATCCTATTCAATGCAAGTCAGTTGCGTGTGTGTACGGATGGAGCACACTTCAAGGAACTCGGAGCTCGGAGCTCCCCCTTCTTACCCAACAACAATGTGCATAAAACTTTTGCAGCACATGGGGTAAATATGGTAAATATTTAAAAGAAAAGTTTGACTTGAGCGAACAAAAAGAGGGAAAAAAGAAAGGAAAAGAGACTAAAGAAACAACAACATGCACTTGAAGCGCAGCTGATGGCGGAACCGAGGACTTAGCGGGACTTTCAAGAGTAATTGTGAAACAAATAATTTTCAATTTTTGGCTGCACTTCAGCCGAAAACTA